AATCTAGCTGTTCATCAAGGTATTGTTATTATTAATTACTATATATATTTATGCATAGAAGGTATCTAAAATGTTTTTATATTCATAAATATTACAACTAATTATTTCAGAGTGTTATGGAATTCCATATATTCCTGAGGGCCAATGGTTATGTAGAAAATGCATAATTTCTCCTGAAAATCCAGTAGTATGTACTTTTATTTTTATATACATATATATATATATTTACATTAACAACATATTCACTTATATTATAATTTCCTTTTAAAAGTCATGTGTATTCTGTCCTAATGAAGGTGGTGCTTTCAAAAAAACCACTACAAATCGTTGGGCACATTTACTTTGTGCAATTTGGATTCCAGAAGTTTGGTTATCAAATCATGTTTATATGGAACCAATTGATAATTTGCAAGCAATACCACGTAGTCGTTGGAGATTAAAATGTTACATTTGTGAGAAAAAAGTTGGTGCTTGTATTCAATGCCAAAATACACATTGTTGCACGGCATTCCATGTAACTTGTGCTAGGAAAGCTAAACTTTGTATGAAAACAAAGTTCCCAGAAGCAAACTTTGACAGTTTTCCAATGAAAGCCTATTGCGATAAACACACACCAGTAAGAAAATATAAGTCATAATAATAATTATTATTATTATTATAAATATATCAATTATTTTTAATTTTACTTATATTTATTTTTAAAAAAAAAGCGCGAATATAGAGAAAAAGTTGATGTGACGGCTACTCTTTCAACTGCTCAAAAATTTTTAATGGATTCAATACAAATTTCAAAAAAACATCGAAATGATAGTATTAGTAATAATAATAATAATAAGATTAAAAACAATAGAGTTCATTATGATGACTATGATGACTATGATTATGATGATGACGACGATGACGACGAGTATATACCTAGTGATGAAGAAAGCAACATTAAAATTAATAATAGCAAAAGCAATGGTATCAACAAAGTTGATAATATCGATGAAAATGAAGAAACTAGTAGCACATCCAAATTAAAACTAACTAGGAAACGTAAAGGAAAAGAAGTCGCAACAGAACAATTTAATCAAGAACCAGCATCATCATCATCATTGTTAGATGTTCAAAACTCTAAAGCTGCTCGCGCATACAATCATTCATATTCAGAAACTGCACCAGTCCTGCCAGTCACCATGGTAGAGAAATTATTACCTATTTTAAGCAAACAAAAATTTTTAAAGAAGAAACATGATCTTCTGGATAAAGTTTGTAAATATTGGTCCACAAAAAGAGAATCTAGACGTGGTGCCCCATTGTTGAAAAGATTACATCTTGAGGTTTGCAAAAAAAATTTTTGATTTATTAGTTGATTGATTGATCATTCAAATTTAAATATTCATGCACACACATATATATAGCCTTGGACGGCTTCTGCATCTATTTACAAACAATCTGAAGAAGAAAAATACGCAAAGTATTTGGTAAAGTTAAATGATACATTTTCAATATCCAACAATTTTGAAGTGTTGCCGCTATTGAATTAAAAATTTTTTTAATGTTATCTTCAAGGCTATGACTGATCTTCGTAAAGATTTGGAAAAAGTGAGAATGCTGTCAGACTTGGTACATCGTCGTGAAAAAGAGAAACTTAAAAGGCTCAAAATACAAACGAATTACCTGGAAACAATATTTTTCCCACTCGATAACATCCTTTTACCAACTTTGAAATCTATACAAAAGTAATTTCATTTATAAGGGTCAAATTAAACCATTTATTGATTTAATTAACAATTTTTTTGTGACTTATTAGATTGGATAAACATCAGATATTCGCTTATCCTGTTTCAGAAGAAGAAGTACCTGATTATCATACACATATATCACACCCTATGGATTTTAGTACAATTCAGAAAAAAATTGAAGAGCATGAATATAGTCTTGGTTCAGGTTTTCAAGGTTTTCGAGGTTTTAGGGTAATTATAATAATGTTAACTTAATACCATTAACAAAATCGATCTTTTAAACAATTCTAAATTTATAATTTTTATTAGGATGATATCGAGTTGACATTTAAAAATGCAATGACATATAATACACCAGATAGTATCTATTATCGTGTTGCTAAAAAATTAAATCAACAAACAAAGCCCATTTTAGATAAGGCAGAACAAGATTATCTTGATCTGGGAATTGACCCCGATAAAATGATTATGGAATTAGATCTTGATCCTGAAATATTTACCTATAATAATGAACCATTGGCTGTTGACGAAGAGGCGATGGAAGAGGCGACAGTAAAGGAAGAGATTGTTGAAGAAACGCCAGAGGGCATAATTAAAGACACAACTAGTGGAGCAATAAGACGAATTAAACGAAAGTTTTCTTTTCTTTCTACTCGGGTCACTAGATCTAGAACAGTTGTCGAACAACACCATCATGATGATGATCAAGATAATAATACTGTTAGCAAAAGCAATTTACAAATTGGTGATAAGCCACGGAAAATTAGAAAATTACCAAAAGGCTGGGTCATGTTGCCTGATGATGATGAGGAAGAAGTGGAAAAAGTGGAGAAAGAGGAGGAACGTGATGAAACTTTAATGGATGTTGATCAAAAACAAGAAGAGTTGGTAGGTGATGATGTTGTTTCATCACGGACTAGATCTCGGAAAACTACAAGGATTGAAGAACTTGATACTGTGGAACCATTAAAAAATGAGACCGATATTATCCATGGCAAAAGAACGATTCGTGATATGATAGTCGACACGTCGCCAACAGTAGCATCAACACCTACATATAGCAGAAGAACAAATCGTGATCCTATAATTGACACATCACCAACAATATCACCAACATCTACATATAGCAGAAGAACAAATCGTGATATTATGACTGACACATCGCCAACGCCTATATATGGCAGAAGAACAAATCGTGATATTATAGCTGACATATCGCCAGCACCTATATATGGCAGAAGAACAAATCGTAATGTTACTGACACATCTCCAACAGTATCACCGACAGCTAGATATGGCAGAAGAACAAATCGTTATGTTACTGACATGTCTCCAATAGTATCACCAACAGCGAGATATGGCAGAAGAACAAATCTTGATACGTCTCCAACAGTATCACCAGCGACTAGATTTGGAAGAAGAACAAATCTTGACATGTCTCCAACAGTATCACCAGCAACTAGATATAGTAAAAGAATAAATCGTGATGTTATTGACACATCGCCAACTGTATCACCTGCAGCTACAATATCAACTATAGTATCATCAACTACTGCATCACCTTTAAATCGCAAAAAATTCAATACTGCTGTATTAGAATCTACTGATATTAGTTATGGGAGTTTAGTTTGGGCAAAGATGCAAGGTTTTCCTTGGTATCCTGCAGAGGTAATATATATTTATTTATATTTCTTTCTTTTTTACTAAAATAATAAATTATATTTAATTATTATTTGTAATTAATTATTTATATATTTATTGTTAATTAGATTGTACACCCAGGCAGTCTTCAAGTTCCTGAAGCTGTCAGACATGATAAAAAAGATGGCGACATGTTTTTGGTGCGTTTCTTTGATGAAAAACCTGGAAAGAAAAATGGTAGTCGTAGCTGGTAAGTCATCAATTTATATATATTTTATAATATTTATTTTAAATACAATTCATCCGTCTATCTATCTATAGGAAATGGGTTGCTGCTAACAAAGTAGTTTTAATGGGAGACAGACTAACTGATTTCCCTAAATTAACTGATAAATCAATGTCCTCCACAATGAAAAAAGAAATACCTCAAGCCTATGCAGATGCTTTTAGATCTAAAGGACTTGATCCTTCTCTTCTTAATGAAATCAATATCAGCACACCATCTAAAAGAAATACTCATAGATAATAATTATTTTCTGTTTATATAAAAAAAATATATATACATATCAACTTGAACATTAATTAATTGCAAAAAAAAATTTTTTTAATATAATTTGCTTCAATGATAAATTATTTTTAATAATAATAATAATTTTCATATTTTGCTAAAAAATTTAATTTGATTATATAACTGAAACTAATATTTGAATATAATTATTATTTATTTATTTATATATATTTATGATAAGAAAATAAAATATAAAAAAATAAATTAATGCTTTTTTTTAAGAAATTAATATCTATTCATTTATTTAACTGATTTCTATTTAATATCAAATTATATTTATTAATATTAGTATTATTAGTATTAATTAATTACAATGATTAAAATGACAAATAATAAACAATGCATGCACACATTCTTGATTTTTTTTTCTCCAAATGTTTTCTTTCAATAAATAAATCAACAGATGATTGATGCTTCTTTAACCACGAGTAAATTTTCCGTAAATATGAAGGAAAAATACAGATCCAATATATGCAAGAGCAAGTACTACAACTACCACAGGATCTCTATATATTTTTTTAAAATAAACGAACAAATAAACATTAATAATAAAGTAATATGGCTATTGTATAATAAATGAACGATATTTGTAGTGATCTTCTTACACTCTAAGTCCTGGTGCGTCATCTGTATACAATTTCATCATTGTTGTTGAACTACCACCAGCTCTAGATACTGCCTTATTAGCTCCAGGCGTATTTCGTCTCCTAAGTAAAAAAGATATTAGATAATTATTAATAAAACTTTTAAGTAATAATCTAATAAAATATGCCTTTATAAGAATATTCATACCTTACATTACCTCTTGGGGCAGTTTGAGCAACATCCTTTTTTTTAAAAAAAAAGTTAATTAAATGTTAGAAATTAATCAATAAAATCAAAACACGCTGAATTAAAATCCTACCATTTTATGAAGATTAGAAGGGAAGAGTCGAAGGATAAATAGATTTTAGTGAGATTTTTTTAAAGGTAAGATGAGATTTTTAAAAATCAAATTTTTTTTAAGCAAAGAATTAAAAATAGTTTTATTAAATAATAATTAATTAAATGTGTGAAAAGAATTAATGACCAATCAAATTTGGTCGCGTTTACAAAAACCTAATACTAAATTGAGTGATAAACGCGATGTTCGTGTAACAATTGAATAAAAATTTTACAAAATAAAAAAAATGGTATATATGATAATAAATTTTAAAAAGATTGATCGTTTAAGAGATTAATTAATTCTAATTGTTATTATATACTCCTTAAAAAAGGCAGAGGTACTACCTGGACATTCACTCGAAACTCATCATGAGGATATGATAGTAGGTTGAATTCTATTTTCAAGAGAAGTCTATAAATAAATAAATATTCATAAAACCATTTTTTTTTAAAAAAATAAAAAAGCATGATGCTAAACTTGATTATTATGGGAAAAAATTGGCAACATGCTCTTCTGATCGATCTATAAAAATTTTTGAAATTGATGGAGACAGTCAACGAGAAATAGAAACATTAAAAGGGTATCTTGTATAATTTTAATAACCTTAATAATAATATTATTGTTTTAAATATACTAATATTTAACCATGGCTATATATTTGTTTAGGCATGAAGGACCAGTTTGGCAAGTTGCTTGGGCACATCCAAAATTTGGTAATATCCTAGCATCATGTTCTTATGATAATAAAGTAATTATTTGGAAAGAGCAAAATGGATCTTGGAATAAAATCCAAGAACATAAACATTCAGCATCTGGTATTTATTTATATATCTTTCTACTTACGCACATATATATATATATACGAACATATTTTTGTAATTAAATGGAAAACAAAGAGATTGAATAGGTTAATTTTTTTTTGTTTAAAAAAATATAGTAAATTCAGTTGCTTGGGCACCTCATGAGCTTGGTCCAATTTTAGCATGTGCATCGTCAGATGGAAAAGTTTCTGTTTTAACATTTAAAGGTAAATTAAAAATGGTTTAAATTAATAATTTTTATTGATTAATTTGGAAAGTATAGAAGTGTGTGTGTGTGTATATATATATATATAATGATTTATTTATTTAAATAGATGATGGAGCAGCTGATATACAAAAAATTGATGCACATTCGATTGGCGTTAATTCTGTAAGCTGGGCACCTGCTACAATGCCAGGTTCACTTGTACAAATTACCGGTGGGGCACAAAATGTTAATGTCACAAAAAAATTTGCTTCAGCAGGCTGCGATAACAATATAAAAATCTGGATTTATAGGTAATTAAAAAGAAATTGGACAAAAAATAAATTGGTAATAATGATTGACAAATTATACACATACATGTGTTTATATTTATGTTTAGTGATAACGAATGGAAAGAAGAATGGAGTTTGGACGGGCACACAGATTGGGTTCGTGATGTAGCTTGGGCTCCTAATGTAGGGCTTTCTAAAAGTTATTTAGCTAGTGGATCTCAAGTAAGAAAAAAAAAAAATTTAGTTATATACTTATATTCATATTCATATTCATATTCATATTCATATTTACATTTATATTTATTGTACCGATATACATATTAGGACAAAACTGTTTTGATCTGGACTCAAGAAACACCAAACTCTCCATGGACTAAAAAACAACTTAATGAGAAATTTTTGGATGCAGTTTGGAGTGTCAGTTGGTCACTTTCTGGTAACATATTAGCAGTTGCTACTGCTGACAACAAAATCACATTATGGAAAGAAAATTTAAAGGGTGAATGGGAAATGTTGACTGAAATGGCAGAATAACAATAAAATTATTTATTAAAAAAAAAGTAATAAAATTAATGTAATTAAAAATACCAATTTCAGTAATGATTTTTCGCAATGGTTTGTTGTCTACAAAAAAGGATTTCGATGTTCTACGAATTTAATCGCGTGTAGTTGAAGCTGCAGAGCGCCCCAAAAAAATTTTTAACGAATATTGGTTTTATTCATAATAATAATAATAAAAAAGGAAAAATTCGATTTCTGACAGTGATGGTTTGTTTAACAGATTATGACTACACACTAACCTTCTTGTGCTTGGTTAAATGGCTTGGGAGGTCTTTAACTTTCTTACGATCATATGCGATCGTGATGTTTTATTAATTAATTGTTTCTTAACTATTTTATCTTACAATCTTACATGATCGTGATGTTTTATTAATTGTTAGTTATCTTTCTTAACTATTTACCAATCAACAATTGATTAGGTTAATAATATGGATTTTATCTATAAATTGAATATTAAGGTTAAATATATTTTTTTAATTGTAAATCTTATATTATTACTATTATTTACTTGAAGATAAAAAATACATTGATATATATTTTCAATTTTTACAACTATACATATTATTAAAGAATCAATAATACCTTTGAAAAATTATTCATATTAATTTATTTTCGAAAAACTAAGTTGCAAAATCTCTCTTTTGACAAAAGCTTCAACAGTTTTAACCAACTTAACTTCAAATATATTATCTTGTTCCACGAATTCTCGAAATGTCAACATGCTACCACCAACACCAAAATATATGGACTTTGCAGCAACATATCTAATATATACGATATAAGTGAATATTAAGATTGAATATTATTATTTTAATTGTAAATAATCTGTCTTATATTATTACTATTATAACTATTAACAAAAGGATACGCAACGCCATTTGGCCTTTTTAGAGTATTTTTGATAACATTATACAATTTTGGTAAAGAATTAATGTTGTATATTGTTTCCGATGTAATTATCATGTCATATTTGTTTTCTTCTGAATCGATGTTGATCACATCCTGTAATATTTTATCAATCGATATATATGCGTATATAAGTGTATATTAGAGCTCAATAAAATTATTATCATAGCATCATCATCACTAAAAATCACTTACAACTAAATCACCCCAATCACCCATAAAAAATCTACTTTTTTTTAATTGGTTGAATAATTTGTCATTTTTAATAATCTCTATTTCTTCATTTTTTTCATTAATCTCTTTTAATTTTGAACGTAAAATTGTGTTAAGTAGTATGTTTGGTATTGTGATCAATTTTAAAACCTGTTCATTATAATCTTGAAAATCTACTTTAAGTGACGAATATTTAGAAAGAAGATAAATGCCAGGAAGTGATGTCCCACATCCAAGCTTTTAAAATAAAAACAATAAATAAATATAAATCTTTGAAAAATGACTTGTATAATAAATAATACCTCTAATATCTTATTAATATTATCAAAGTCAAAATTTTGCAAATCATTTATAAAATAATCAAGCAGGTCAAATGAACACTCCCAAGTTTTTAATCCGCCTAAATAAATATAATAGTAAGATTATTGTTACCCAAATAAAAAATGCGAAATTTTTTTTAAAAAAAACCTTCGTATACTCCTTCAATTAAATCATTTTTTATCGATAATTCCAAAATATTTGATGGATTATTGATTTTTTGATTATTATCCATGACAAGATCTTCATCTTCTTGTGCTATCTGAAATTTAACGTCTGCCAAATGTCTTTTATAAATAATAACCTTTTCTTCTGTTGATTTTTTTGTGGAATCAACATGCTCAAACATAAATGTTTGGGGAAGTTTTAATGACTAATAAATAACCATTATCAGTTGAATATTATTAGCGCGCGTGTGTGTGCATATATGCTCTATACATGAAAAATCAAAAATTGTCAATTATTACCATAAATGTTGGAATAAACTCACTTGAAGGAATTAATGATAGTGGTCTGGATACTTTATCGTTATTTGACGAGTGAACATGATTTTTTTTTTCATCAATTTCATAATCTTCTACAATTGATGTCTCTTCGTCAGATATATCCAAATCAGTTGTCTAAAAAAACAATTTATTAGAATTTTAGATAATTACAATTCAATAGAAAAAATCCATAAAACACACCATAAAATTAAACTTGAAAGACATTTTTAAATGATGATCGTAGATCGATCACGCAAAACGATTTTCATAATCGAATTTTTAATATTTGCAAGTAAACAGTATTAATTGAAACCATTTTTATAACCATACCTATTAAAACGTATTAGACTATATAGGCTTTATTAATTTTATAGTAATAAGCTTTAAAAGAAAAAGTTGCTGATACTTGAAGGTTCTCAATAACGACTTGTTGTTTCTAATTGAGATTTTGTAACTACATAAAACGCCTCTTGGCAATCTTATACTAAGAAAATGTCTTTCTTATGAATTGACTTAGAAGTTCATTTTTTGCTTGTAATCAATTTTTTTTAAGAAACTGGGGGTGTAGAATGTAGATTTTCAACAAACGCATAAACGAAAAAAATGATATATTTATTTATTATTATTTTATAGGTAACGAAATATTTACTGAAAGTAAGTGCAGATGATGTAAAAAATCATCTTTTTAAACAACAAAATTTCTATTAATAAATTAGTGAATGTTTGAAAGCAATGGTTGATATTAGATCTAGTTGATATGGAATTGTTAAACTTGTATGTATATTCAGGGATTTGAGATAAGTCCATTTTGTTTTCTGCCTTAAAAATTATGATTCTTACAAATAGATTTAAGTTTAGTATATAAACTTATCATATAGTCCACACTCTATAATGAACTTTTAGGTTATATATTTTTTGTGCCTTTGTTTGCTATAGAGAAATAATAAAAAATGGAAGAGAAGTTCGTCATAATGTGATTTTGTTTAGTGTTTGTTATATATATAGAAAAAGTTATTGTAGAGAAAGTGAACTGTACTTTTCACTACATATTTCAACCACATTGACAATAGATGTCATATAACAAATGCAACATTTATTATTTATTTATTTGCGATGGTAATTACAGGCTATTAACAGATTACAGTTTAGCTTATTATTATTATTATCATTATCATTATTATTATTAGAAAATCAAAAAGAAAAACTTGTATAAAAAATCACATTAATTTCATTTAATTATTGTTTTACTTATTTTTAAGCATAGAATCCAAACTACTTATTAAATCTAAACCTACAGTTCTTCCAGTCTATACAAAACACATAAATTTACATTTATTAAATAATAACAATAAATATAATGATGATGATGATAATGATTGTCTTTATCATTACCTGTACCATTTCCTTCAAAAGACTTGGTTCAATACAACCGCCGCCGCTTTTTTGTATTCCACATATTTTTCCCATCTTATTAACAGTTACCAATAGCTTTGCTTCTGTTGCAAGTTCTTCCAAAGGTGTAGCATCAACTATATGTCTTGTTCCAATCTGAATAATTATATACAAAAATGAATCAACAATCAATCATTAATCAATTAAATGCCTCTAAATCACATCTCTAAAAAAAAAAAGATCCATATACAAACTCTATTTAAAGTAACACCAACTGGTACCATGTCCCATCCATATATTCTTTCCCATTCCTCAACATCATCTGATATCTCAAACTCAAACTCACCATCTCCATGATCTTGAATAATAGTCTTTGGCACTCTCGCGTTATAAAGTGCTGCACGTGTAGTTATGAAAATTGTATCTAAAATATTACCTGCATAATCTAGAACCTTTTTTTCGTTATTGTTGAGGTGGAAGATGAGGGAAGAATTAGAATGTAATGATAAAAATTTTTTATATAAACTTTTTAAGAGATTTACCAAGGCATCAATATAAACAACCCAACATTGTTGACCTGGAATAATACATAATTTCTCAAGATTTATACCGCCCTGTGGTCCATTAAAAACTCGTTCTATTGTTTGAGTAAGTTCGTTATTGATATCTTCTGCTCCTTTTCCTGCAAATTGTTGCGATGCTATTGGTGAACTATTAAACTTGAAATTATTGAAAATTAATAATAATTTTTTTATTCAATCACATTCACATTCAAAATCTTTTTTTTTTGTTACTACCATTAGTTACTTACTCACTCACCATTCTACATTACAAACAACTCTACCTCTTTTTGATTTAATTTCCATCACCTGTTCATAGTTGCCATCAATTTCTATTGCACCAATCTCAATTTTTACTCCAACCAAAACATCAGTTCCTTCCCCAAGTTTACACCTAGCACTACCACTTGCTTGTGAAATAACTCCAGTTTCTAAAGAAACTTGACGATAATCTAATCGTCCTCTTCCATCGGCACGAATATTATCATCGACTCCCTTAAAAATAAAATCAATTTCCGACGGTGAAATTAATGATAATGGCATAATAATAGTAAGTTTATTAATTTGTAGATCATATCAGTGAATTTTTGATATTTTTGAATTTAGATCATTATAAAAATCGTATGTTGGCTTTCACTAAATCTGACTTATTAAAAATGATATTTGTTTACTAAAAACTTCAAAGCAACTTGGATGTTTATTTAAGGCGCGTATCTTTACATGTCAAAATCTTAGTGTAGTGTAGTTACTAAGAAATATCTTTGAAAAAAAATTTTTGGACGAATTTTATTTATTATTTTTTTAGATATCACAGTAGTAGATGTGCAATATTTTTTGACCATGTAGTGTTTTTTACAAGGATGAGATCTTTATTGATTGTCGATGGCATAATAATGACCTTACAAAATTTTACAACATATCCATGTTCTAAGCAGAATATTGAATATAAAAAACGGTCAATTTTTTTGACAATTTTTCAAAAAATTTGAAGTGAAAATGGAAGAAAAAAAATCAAAAGACTGCAAACAAAACAAGCAGATAAAACAAATGATTTAGATAAAACAATGATTCGAATAAAGAATAAATGAATAAAATGAATAAATGAATAAAATGAATAAATCAAATAATTCGAATAAATAAATGATCCAAATAAATATAAAAAAATGATTCGAATAATTCAAATAAAACGTGTAATAATTCAAATAAACAAATATTTCAAAGAATTTGTATCAGAAGGAATAGGCATTCATAAAGACGATGAATGAAATTTGATTTATGATATTACCTCCAAGTTACAAATTTTGGATCTTTTGGTTAGCACGGCCACAAAAGCATCAAATGTTCACGAACACATCGAAAATTCTGTTGAAAAGAGAGCTGATTTAAATAAAGAGAAGAATGAAATTTTAAGGGAAAAAAGACAGACGTAAGGAAACATCTATCAATATCAAATGCTTTTATCATCATCACCATCATTATCATCATTAGTCGTTCTTGTTGTTTAACGAGGAACTTTTACATATTTTCATTTTTTATTATTGTTGTTAAAATTAGCACATCTTCCATTGGTCAAATTGCACAAGGTATTATGCCAGTTTTGAATCCAAGAAAAGTGGGAGTCCTGACATAAAAAAACCAACTGAAAAAAAATATGACAAGGCTTCAATCCTAAAACAACTCAAAGATGAAGAAATATCATTACAAAGAAAGGTATATCAAAGAAGGATAATGTTTCTAAAAGTTATCGTTTTTATAGATTCTTTTTTTAATAAAAAAATATTTGATAAAATTAGGAAGAACAAATTGAAAAAGACAAGAAAAAATATGCAATGCCTCATTCTATACCTTTAGGATATGATGGATTTTATAACAAGTATTTTTATTTTGATGGTTTGGGTATAACAGTTGGAGAAAAATATGGTACAGGTAAAATTTGGGAACAAGTTCCCCAGAAACAAGATTTGAGAATGTTAACTGATAGAGATATGCAACATTATTACAAAAGAAAAAAAGCTGAAGATTCAGGTATGAATTTTGGACAATGGGGTTACTATGAAGACGTATCAGATGTTAGTAATTCTTCAAATATTTTTTTGATATATATTTGTATAATTGGGATTTCTATTAATCTATTTACTTATTCATTAATTTATTTATTTAGATTGATCAATTGATGAAATGGCTTAACACAAAAGTGAACAGAGAATCTGTATTGAAGAATAAACTTTTAAATCACTATCAAGAACTTTCGACTTGTTTAATGAAAAGGAAACAGGTAAGATTGATCAATTATATCTTAGTGATTACAATATATATTAGTTTGTTATTTGTTTTAAATAAATAAATTATTTATAGGATTTGACCACACCTTGTATGACAATTGAAGTGAGAAGAAGTAAACGAGTACAAATTACTAATGCAGTACTTTCTTCACAGTCATGAAATGTATAAATAAATTAGCCAAATAAATAATAATAATCTAAAGTAAAAAAAATAAAAATAATAGATATCTTTTATTATAATAATATTTAATTATTTATTTTTTTGATATAGAAAACCTTTATTCTTTAATTTAAAATGTTATTCTATAAAAAAAAATTTAATATATTTATTCAAAAATTTTCAAATAAAAATAATAAATAACTAAAAATACAATAAATACTATTATACAAAATTTTCTCTAATATACAACACAAATAATAGATAAATTAAAAACAAACAAACAAATAAATAAAATATGAGAAATTGAAAAGTTGTTTATGTGTATATATAATTTCACAATTATTCTTCATTATTTTACTCGTGTTCATTTTGCCGCAAACCATTTCTAACTGCCAAAACTGAATCCTAATTCATCAATTAATAAATAATTAAATTAATAATCATGTTGATTGATCATAATCAATAATTAATTAAATAAAAAATAAAATTACCACAATAACAGCATCAACGCCAGCTTTTCTTTGCAATTTTACATTCTCTACATTATTGTTCAACTTTCCATATGTAAACAACAACAGGCCAGTTTTCTTGATTGTCCTGACCAACTCAGGTGCCTCTAAAATTGGTGTATTTAATGTAACAATTCCTGACAAATCAAAGAATTTAGCAAATTTGATAGCCTCGTGAATCGAATTGCACCTAGCGTCAGCCATCTTTGTATATCCAGCATCTGTTAAGAAAAAAATCGGATAATTTGGTTGTTTGAAAGCCAACATTAGACAAACACTTGGGTGGAATGATGAAAATATTATATTACGATCTTGCTGTGCATTTTCATAAACACAATGCAATATGGTGTCGATAAAAAAATTCAATTCAGTATGGAATGGTGATAAATTTTCACATTCAGATTCATCGATCATTGGATATTTCACTTCTATATTGAAACCAATGTTGATGGGAACTTTCTATAAAAGGGATTATTTCATTCAATCATCTTTATTATATATTATATTTAATATATTACTAATATTATCGGAATTACCTTAAAAGTTTCAGCCAATGTTGCAAATGGTGCTTGAATTGAACCGGCACTATTACCTTTAATCTTTGTTTCAGTATTAATATTCAAATTGTTATATGAGTCAAGAAAACTTGCACTATTATGCTTTTTTAATATTATTGCATTATTGGTACTGCTGTTGCTACCACTAATACCAATACCAATATTATTGTTGTTACTATTGGTATTTGATGATGGATGAATGAATTCTTCAATAATTTTACGATCTTGTATTAAAAAATTATCAATACCAAGTTTGTTGTTGTTATCATTTCCTTTTGAGGAAAGCTCTTTCTTTTTAAAATTAAGAAATTGTTCAAGAGTCACTTCATGAATGGGAATATCATAGCCTGATTCACTGAAAGTCCAATCATGATAAACGACTGGGACGTGATCTTTTGTAAGTTGTATGTCTATATATGTATGTATTTGAATGAAATGAAAATTATAAAAAATAAATGAATGTATTATGATTATAATGATGATGATTATAGTAAAAAGGAGCATACCGAATTCAACATATTCAGCTCCAAGTGATGCAGCGGTGATAAAACTTATTAAAGTATTTTCACCCAACTGCAAACTTGGTGTAACAGTATTAGCACCCATGCCACGATGACCAATTACTGTAGTGGTGAACGATCTATGAAATGTGTTTCTTTTATCAAGCATCATTTTAGGATGTTTAAATGGTTTGACAACCAAAACTTCAAACATGACTTCGCCTATTAAATCAAGTCCTTGAGTGCTGATTATAGGAATTGTTGTTGAGCATGTCAACGAGGCATGAATTGAATCAGGTGATGACAATGAAGATGGTTTAACAAATGATGATAGTAATGCTGTGGCACGTCCAATAAGTTGTTTTTTTGCACCATATGTTGGCATTATGTCAAATGTTAAGATGACATCACCAGGATTGGTTGCATGAAAAATTATAGGATCTGTTGATATACTTGAAAGTTCTACAACAGATGGTTCACCAGTGGCATTTTCAGCAGATATTACAAGTGACATTGACACAAATGAAAATAGATTGGATGATGGTAGCTTTTTATCATATAATTGTACTGAAGTCACACCTTTACGAATGTCAGTATTTCCCAGTGTAACAATTATCATGGATTGAGTTTTTAGATACTTATGACCAACTAAAACTTCTTTAGTAACATATTGTCCCTCTTCTTCTAATAATGATTGTTTAGAATCGGATGCTTTGTTATTTGAGGTTGGTGATGATGAGTGAGGTTCAAATTCAGAAATTGTAGTTAATGGATGAAGAAGATTTTTTAATTCAATATAACCATGAAGAATTGAATATGCATAAGGTGTTAATCCAGAATCATCTTTAACATTTGGATTAGCTTTAGCCTCCAATAAAAGTTTAACAGCTTCTACATGCCCTTCGATGACTATTAATAAAATAATTAATGGTGAGGATCATGATGATGGTGATGATGACGATGATGATGGTGATGATGATGATGTGAGGTCTTTTCAATAGAAACAAGGATAACATTGAAAATGATGTTTTGAAAAAAAGGTCTGCATTTGTTTGCTATTGTTTTTATTAATTAAAAATCATAATTTTTGACATTGTCCTTGTTTCTATTGAAAAGGCCCCAAATATATATGATGTTGATGTTGATGATGTATGTGATATATATATAAAATTTTTTTGATTACCTGCTAAAAATAAAGGAGTCCGGCCATAAAGATTTTCTTTAATTTCAGTATTTGCTTTTATTCTCAAGTACTCTCCATTAACAACACCACTATTATTATCATTTAATTTTAATTCATCACCATCATTGTCGACATCATCATCATCATTATCCAAACATAACAATATCTTAATACATTCTAATGAACCATTTTTTGCAGCAATATGTAATGGAGTTTCACCATTTTCATTTTGAACATTAGGATCTGCACCATCTGACAATAGTTTTTTTACAGTTGAGCAATTATGTATTTTTTCAACATCATTGTCACCATTATTGATTTTCTCCATTGGCCTAAAGTAATATCAAAAATAATAAATTAATTGATTTTTGATGAACCAATTTATCAGATAAAATTTTTTAGAAATTGGAAGTAAAGTCAACTGGAAGATTTATCTATAAGATAAATTCTTTTATATATTTCAGGTAAAAAATAAATACATTTATTTATAGTAAGTTTACTACCTCTTTGCTATAATAATTTAATAACAGCAATAACTGATAAAAAAGAAAAAAAATATTATGTCACACCAATAATAAAACATATTTTTATATTGTCTATAACTCATCATTATTAGAAATAATTGGTATTGATCATTATTATTATAATTATTATTGTTAATATTTAAAGACAAGTAAAATTTCGTTTGAATGTTGTCTGTAAAATAATTGGCTCATACATAAAATTTGTATTTAGAAGGATTTATACGATTTAAGGTTTGGTCCAAATAATTATCATATTTAGAAGGATTCACGCGATTTTAAGGCTTTGGTACAGAGAATTACCGTATTTAGAGAGCGATTTAAATAATTTTTATCCATTTTGACCGCCTGCGGTTACTATTACCTAATACTACATAATGTATAATGATTTTATTATGCCGCCGATATGATCATTACTACTATGGTGCGCCTTATCTAAAGACATCAAAAAAAATTGCAAATCTTTAAACCCTGATAACTTTGGAAATATTAGTTGGTCCATAAAAAACTCTATTTTTGCAATCTTTGGAACATAAGCAACAATGTAATAGAGATATTTTTTAAAGTTAATTAGTAAAATAAAAAGTTATTGGGGTTTAAAATTAAGTAATTTATTATAATTAAAAAATTCGGCACGCCTATCAAACTAATTTGACCAAAGCATAGTGGAAGTTTGTTGTTACACGAAATGTTATACAGAACCCATTGCTCCTGAAACTTCACCATTATATAGTTGTTACCTCTCTAAATTGGAGATCAAGTTCAGATCCAATTCAAATCTAGTTTATCACTTACTTTTTTTATTGTCAGAATGTTTGCCGTGTATTGTAAAGTTATGTTGCACAAATATAAAAAATTCGTGGCAACATTTCAAATGTTTTTGACCAATCAGAAAACTAATATAGATCAACTTTTATCACGTGATGCATCTAACAATAATATATCTGGCAATTTTCTATGAGATTTATATTTTTTTTTTTTGCTGCAAATATTAAAGCTTTTCCTGAAAGTCCTATCTATAAGCACTCATAAATCTACAACATCTTCTAACAAACTTTCTAATTTTACAAAGTGAAACCGAGTTCAATGCCAGAGGAACAGTTCACTAATTCTTTAAATAAATAATTACAATTTTTTCTAGTGTATTCTTTAGTTACTTCCCAAAAACTTTCTATATAATTT